TCCCTTCAGGATTACAAGTTAGGGCTTGCCTCGTGATGCAGTTTGATGATTTGCGTAATGTATGTCCTATCCATTTCCATCGTCTTTTTCTAATTTCCAATTTCAGCTGGAAGGTGGTTTTTTCTCCCTCACAGAATGCTGTTACTGATGGTATCCGACCAATGGATGTTGAGTATCTTGCGTAGACATTTATTGATAAATACTTGTACCTTCTTGATGGTGGTTCTTCTAATTCTCCAAGTTTCAGCTTTGACGTTCGTATTGAAGATTGTGACTTTGATATTGGTTGACAGACAGTTGTTTTGAGTTCCATATATTGTTCAATTGTATGAATGTGGCCCTTGCTTTGCCAATCCTCGGTTTTACGTCTGCATCTGAACGTCCTTGTTTATCGATGATGATGCTTCTCAGATATGTGAAGAATTTTACATCTCTCAGAGTTTCGCCATCAAGAGTGATTGGATAGCTGTTCTCCGTGTTGTATTTGAGGACCTTTTCTTCCTTGTGTATGTTGAGGCTTACTGATGCAGAGACTGATGCTATGCTGGCAGTCTTTATGTGCATTTGTTCGTGTGTATGGGATAAGTGGGCTAGGTGATCTGCGAAGTCCAAGTCATGTAATTGGTTCTGAGCTGTCCATCGTATGTTGTGTTTTCTCTCAGATATCGAAGTCTTCATAATCCAGTCGATGACCAGAAGAAAGAGGAAGGGAGAGAGTAGACAGCCTAATATGTGAATGATCATGTATGGGATCATTTAAAGATGCGATTGAAAAATGTAGAAAGGATGAGACAGCAATCATCTGCAGTTCGATCTCTAATGAGATGTGTTATGTCATAATTATAGACGATTTGAATAGTTTATGTTTAATTTCAATGCTATTACACTGTTTAGAGTTATTACAGATAATAAACTTAAATTGAATTGAAAGTGTTCTAAAATGTGAATATGTACTGTTCTCTCTGTTTTATCAATGTGTGTACTTTGGGATATACATATAAAACGATCAACGTAGTTGAAGGTACTTCAAAAGCAACCGTCTGAAATAGCTCTTAACTTGTTTTTATACATCTTTACAGCTAATTTATCTTTGATTCTAGCGAAGAAATATGGGATATAGAGTACTTTAGTTATTACTCCGTATATTCTGACTTGTCATATTTAATAGTTATATATAATAATGAACTCTGGTGACGAGACCTTCATGATAAGATCGTACAACTGAGCTTATAGACAACTGGCGACTGTTATCCTAATTCGAAGTTACTAATAATGCTCCTTATCAACAATGTGTTCTTTTACTGTATTGTGGATAAATGCAAATATACAGGTATATCCAGCCGATCCCAAGGGTTAGGCCTGGAGTCAGCAACTCTATATCGTAGAAAATAACAATTTTACCAGAAAATATAATTCGAACCATTTAAACTCTGTCCTCTGAGTTGAAAAATTTTCAGTTAAAAGAATTATTACGCCTCATGGAGTAAGCTAAGTGCTTTCGGAAGTTACAGTGCCGACGCCCTTTCTAACAACCTGGGCAATAATCAACGGGGGTACATGAAATGTCCGAATAATGTAGGAAACTAGAAGAGCCAGATAAACAGTTGAGGAAATGAGAAGAAACAACTTGATGGTTTTCAGAATAAGTGAAACCTATCGGACCCATGGTGGGAAGAAGAGATTAGAATATGGAAATAGCTATTGTACTCTGATTATGAAAAAGAAAATGCTTCACACACGAAAAACTTTGCACTGATGCTGTCTAAAGAAACATAAAGAGCACTTGTAGGATTGGAATCTCATGGGTCCAGAATCATCAAAATATCCTTCAAAACAAAAGAGGGAACCACAATGAATGTTATCCAGTGCTATTCTTCCATTAATGGTACAAATGAACACGATAAAAATCACTTTTATGAGAGGAAGCAGTCGATCATAGAGAATTGCCCAGGATAGGACCTGCCCATCGTGATGGGAGACCTAAACGCCAAATTCTGAATTCACAACACCGTGTATGAAGACACCAAGGTAAGACATGGACTGACTGGGAGAAATTAATGAAAATAGTGAGAAATTTGCAAATTTATGTGCATTCAAGAAAATGGCTATACGTGGCATTATATTCCCCAACAAACGCATAAACAAAGCTACATGAGTTTCACTGGATCACACTACAGAGAACCAGGAGAGGTGACATTACTTCAGATCCCCATCTGGTTTCGGTTGTGCACAGACCAAATAGTAACACTACGGATCATCGTTGAACAATCATTTAAATGGAATTCGTCACTATACATCAACTTCCTTCATTATCATAAAGCATTTGACAGCGTGTATAGGAGAACATCATGGAAATCGCTTCGACACTATGGTGTACCTGAAAAAATATCAAATATTATACGAAATTCATAAGATGGACTACACTGCAAAGTGGTTGATGGAAGACAGCTAACTCATACATTTGAAATGAAGATCGGATTTAGACAAGGCTGCTTACTCTCTGCCTTTCATATTCTTCTGGTGGTTTACTGCATTATGAAGACCTTAACATCTGAATGGAAGAACGGAATGCAGTGGAAAGCTTTCATGCAACAAGACAATTCGGACTTCACAGATGACCTGACTATTCAATCCCATACACACGAACAAACACAAATGAAGGCAACTAGTGTAGCAGCAGCCTTTGCATCAGTAGACCTCAACATACAAAAAGGAAAAAGCAAGATCCTCAAATACGACATGGAGAACACCAACTCAAACACAGTTGATGGAGAAATTCTAGGGGAGGTGGAAACTTTCATATATCTGGGAAGCAGAATCACCAATGATCTGATGCAGACGTAAAGGGGAGGATTGGCAAAGTAAGGATCTCAGTCCTATAGTTGAACAACTAATATCAAAGTTACGATCTTCAATATCAACGTCAATCTAGTTAGTTCTAATGTACGGAACTGGAACTTGGAGAACTACTACAATCATCATCAAAAATGTAAAAGTATTTATAAGCAATTGTCTACACGAGATAATCAATGTCCTTTGTTGACCGGATACCATCAGTGACAGCCTTTGTGGGAGAGAACAAATCAGCTTCTAGGTGAAGAGGAAACTAGGAAAAGACGTTGGAAGTGGATAGGTCATACAGTGTGAAAATCATCAGATTGAATATTTGGTGATTGTATACTTACTCTAAATTATTTTATCTAGTTGATCAGTCCGATAGTCGTGAATTGGTAGACTACTTACTAGTAGTTTTAAGTAGTATAACATTTCAACTAAAATTTGTTAGGAGACGGTTATGAATATCATTTATGCAGAATCAAACACTTCTTAAAAAATGACATGAAAGGATACACAAGGCCAGGCTGGGAAGAGACACAAGAACGTTATATTTAAGGTACTGACTCGTTGTTTATCATGGAAACTAGGATTTCTGTATGTGTTTACAACATTATTTCATCGATTTGAGGTTGAGTAAAACTTCAGCCTTTTAAAGCATGGGATTGATATTCAAGATTTATAAATCAGAGTTGAGATCTGAGTTTTGATTTACTGATGTCCATACATGTAAAAGTGATTCTTTACATATGATAGATCTCTTAAAAAACTGAACATCTTTTATATGTGTTCAGATCGTGAAAGCTAACCTGTCTGATACGAGTAGAATTCAATTAATGTTATGTTCCTTAGAGTTATATTCAGATCGCAGATCACTTGGTTACATCTGAAGATCATGAATAGTTTCCTTTAATTCAAAATAATGTGGGGCAGTTTGTAAATCAAACTGTGATCTTGTCAATATCAAATTTTCTGAAGGTTATGAACATTCAATGTACATTCCTGATATCTGGTAAATATACAAGTCGATAGATTACAGAAAAATCAGTCGTGTCGTGTCTGGAAATGGCCATAAGTAATCTTCTAAAATTTAAAAGACAGTAGGTGAAGTTTGGTTCCAAGCACCATTAACTAAGATTTTAATATAAAGTACCGTTTGCTAGGCAATAATGGATAGTCGAAATTAGGCCCTAGGTTTCGCGATATCTAGCATTCACTCGGGAGACACACCTATAATACTGAGGGAATCAATGCTTCATATGTGGTGCAAACCTGCGTCACTCAGTTTCATAGCTCGAGATGCTACCCTTTCATAAATCTAGTAGCGACTGACGTCCTGTAGAGAGATAAAATACTTATAATGATCACAGAGTAGCAACCAATGTAGTTTGTCTATCCAAGGGTTTCCTGTTGAGTACATTCAACCAACTAACATCGCAACATAGCGTGTGCTATATTCAATCAATCAAATTCATCATCACATTGTAAGGTCACAAATACAATTCAACTAGTAACACAGAGCCAGATAAACATGATATTGGTTATTACTCGGTGATCAATCAACTGTTACGTGCTGTGTCCTTAAAATAATCTTAAATTATCTGAAGGGGTTAGTAATTTTGGTAATTTTAATAGTTCATACCATGAATCAATTCAAGTTAGACCACCATGGAAAGCCTGGAATTACTGATTGGCCGTCTCTTCCTATTCTGGGACTCCGCATATGTGCGCATTCACGATCACGCCTCGCGAGATTCAAACTCAGGACCTATCAGTCTCGCGAGCGAGCGCTTAGCCTCTAAACCACTAAGCTGGCATTCGATGGTGTTAATGTCAAACTTCAAATAATCCACGAGATTGAAAAAAACCATCCACCATTGTCTTCAGTGAGTTACTATCTCACAACAGATCCTGTTGAACTCCACTAGTCACTGCTTCTCACTAGAACTCCAAGAACCCGGTCACTACTGAGCATATGATGATTTATATCAGAAGGGATTTTTGTGGATATTATAGTAATTTCAATAGTTGAGATTATGAGTCAATTGAAGCTAGGTATTGGATTCTAATCTCGCGAGGCGGGATCGTAGATACGCACTGATGATGAGTCCCACGGTAGGACGAAACGGTTGTCCAGTGCTTCCAGGTTTTCCATAATGGTCTAACTTCAATTGATTCATGATCTCAACTATTGAAATTATCTCACATTTGATCGTCTTAGATTTACTTTTATATGAAGATGCAAAGGAGAATTGAATGAGACAAAGTGTTTTCAGATTTATTTCTACACAACATCACTTATCTATACTTTTTAGTTAAAATTGATTACATCAATGATTAGAGAAAAACAAGGCGAATATATTTGATAAATAAATAGGTATTTATTGCATCACAGTATGTATGCTGCATAAATATACACGAAACGAGGGATAGAATAATCATCATACTAACCAAAATTATATCACGTAAAATATTGGTTTTGAAGTGTAGATTTTAAAAGAAAAAAAAAAGAAAGAGGAGAAAAGATTAGACAGATTGATCGATTTGTTCAATAATCAACTCTTCACACCTTTTTTTATCTTTACTTTTCTTTTTTCTTTGCTACATATAAATGATAGAAACCAACAATTACCATGGCTACAAAGATAATTGATTAACGATGAATGAATGAATGATGATTAAACTATACATGACAATATGAAATAGTAAATATAAATTAAATAAGCTCCAGGTAAATGAAACATTTAGAAATGAGCTTGTTACTTTTAAATATGAAATTGGAAAAGATTAATATCTAGGATAGAGTTCTATAAAGAATGCTGATATAGCAGGTTTATACTCATCCATGAAGGGTAACAGACGTAAGTAAGTAAGTAAATAGTTACCACTCTAAATAGTACAGTATGTGATCATTTTAAATGATAGAAATTAATAAAAAAAAAACAGACCTTTAATCAATAGGATGTTTGCTTGTTTTTCTACTTTTTTCTCCCTGATTGAAAACAATCCATTTCAACAACAACAACAACAAGAAAAAAGAGAAGAAATAGGAAAACAAACACACAAGAAAAAACTTGATCAAATTGGGTTTTTCTTTCTTTTTTTTTATTACTGTCACATTATCAATCCACAATTATGCATCATAATATGAAGAAATAAATAAAAATTTAAAAAAATTTTTTCTTTTCCGAAAAAAAGGAAAACAAACAAACAAAATTATTTACAAAAATTTACCAAAGAAACTGGTTTTTTGTTTGAAAAAAAAAGGAGGAAAAAAATTTAAAAAGATAATAAAAAAGTAAAAACCAAGGATAAGGGTACATGCAATACAAATGATTGATCTGGATGCTCATAATTGGTTTTGAAATAAGTAACGCACGCACACGCACAGAGAGAGAGAGAGACACACACACACATATACACACACATGTGGGTATTGATGACTATTTTATCAGGGATTATTTATTATTCTTTATGGTTTCCTTATGAATATAGATAAATATCTATCATGATTAATTATGATAGAAATTAAAAAGAACTTTGATTCATTCCATCATCATTTGACATTAATGGTAATACAGAAGAAAGATAATGTCCAATATTAATTGGATCATCACATTGATTTGAATCAATAATTCCACCTGTTTGTCGAATATCTATTACTGTACTTTGACGTTGAACATTCCCTGATGGACATGCACCAGCTGCTGTTACAACAAATCTATGCTTTAAAAGATTTTCTAATGATGGTCTATCGCTAGCTGGACGTCTAAGACATGAATCAACTAAATCAATAAAATCATCAGAGAAACAAAATTTTGGTAAACGAGGTGGTGGTTGATCTACAATATAAGATAAAAGTTCAAATATTGCCATTGGACCAGAACTTGGACTATTGACAGCTATAATTGGAAAAAATAAAACAAAATAATTAAGATGTTAGAATATACACACACATATATCATTATCAGTAAGGGTTTAAATTATTCCATTATTGAAATTCAAGAATGCAGTTCGATTGGCGTATATCCACCTGATGTTAAATCGATAAAAATTGGGTTCGAATCCTACCGTCGTAAACATGAAGACTGAGGTGATGAGTCTCAAATAGGACAAAGCCGGAGTTATATATATATATATATATATATTGCTGAGTTCAAAATCTGCGTTTAAACAGCTTTTGAGAACGAGGGAGCGCTGGATAACCGTTTCATCGTAGTATGAGACTCCTCATGAGGGTGGATGTACTAAACTCATCAAAGATTGATACAAGGACCTTCAAGTCATTAGATTGACACTCAGTTATAAGCATTTTTAAATTCAGTCGAAACGCGACTTTAGCCCATTATCATCCAGTGACGTTGTTACGTCCCGATAAGCATAATGAATGGTAACTTTTGAGATCCATTTATGGTACAATACTATGAGTATATTTTTATCGTATAATTTTTAAGTAACTAAACTACTCATATCCGTGTCCTTCTTATTAGGAGCTTTATTTTGACTTATGAACCATTATTATACGTTTTACCATTCTTGAATTACGCCTTGTCTATTATTCACTGCCTCCCTCATCCACAGCCACATTTGGCTAAATCTTGTACAAATGTTGTTTCCTATTTTATGGTACGATGTAGTCTGTTTGGTTGATATATAAACCCCGTTTGAAATAAATGATTCACATCGCAGAGGCTGGGATTGCTGTTCTGAACTTAACTGGCTAGGCTAGGCACGAAGTAGGACCAATCAGGACTCTAGACTGTTCGTACGAGTTTTACGCGTCATTGGTCCAATCGATAATTCACTGCTTTCTAATTGGCGATATCATTAGGTTGTACATTAATAGGGAACTCAGGCTACAAGTTATAACAGACATCAGTGACAAATCGCTTCTTCATCACGTAGTCGAAATCCACCGGTCTCTATACTTTTCATCTGACCATCAAAAAATAGATAAACTAAATTGGAACAAAACAGGTTATCTCTATAGATTTTTCCATATCCATAGCTCATTTGATTTTGCTTAAACTTTGATAGACTTGAGGACTCACTGTTAATTTGTCAATTAACGTAAGTTTATGAATTGTTTGCATAGTATAACCCTGGTAATCTACCAATAACGGTCTTGCCAACCTCTTGGAATTATTAGCTCTTTCTCTCCTTGAAAAAAGGTATAACCCATGAGTCAATATATGTATACGATAAATAAGTTATGCTATAACTGACAGTCCCAGGTAATGCAAGAGTTCACACAAATATACATCGACTGAATTTGCTACGTGAAATTGGTACAATGAGATGAAATTGTCAACATAAATACCGAATTAGTAGTAGCACTAGTATTTAAAAAAAAATAGGGTACAAGGAATATTATTCGAAAAGAAATGGTGAATTCATAGAATAACAAATTTTAAGTACTTTCGAAACTTTCGATCTAGGGACACATAAAGAGTAAGTACATTTACACTATGATGACTGATTTTCGGTTATGCTACTCAAAGTTACAATAACCACGTGAACTCCAACCAGGTAGTCTGCACCTATCCACATCGTTCAGTTCGATTGTCAATAACTTCGGGGATTGATGCTACTCTTTAATTTGGCCGTCCATAGCTTCCCTCCAATATACTCCTACGTCAGACAGTATTGTACGTCGAGTTAGGTGGTTGAATATATGTTGATAGCGATTAACATCATCAATCGACTATACACCTTTGGTAAGCACTCTAAGCTTAACCTTAACACTATTCGAGTGGTCGTTCCATGATAACGCAACAATGCTTCGAAGACGTTAATCATCAAATAGCTTCCACTCTAATAAAGTATTTTTCACATCCATAGAGTAATACAGAGCAGACTACTGAGAGATATACTCGCCCCATAGTTTGCAGATGAGAAACTCGTCAAAGTTACAAGCAACGTAAATTGGCAAAATCCACAGGAAGTATTTAAATCCATGTTGAAAATTTGTCAGGGACCAACTCATCAGAGTTGAAGTGGTTTATTTAAATCCCGAACCAATCTAAGTCAGACAACTCTTAAAATCCAGGGAGTACTAAGCAGCCATCTCGATCTAGTGCGGGACTCCCCAGAAGGGCGCATCCATGAGCCCACTCTTGAAGCTAGGAAATTTTTAGAAAGAAGTAGTGGCTAGTGGGATCCAAATATGTAAGGTGTGGAGAAGGCACTCACTAAAGACAGTTGAAGATGGCTTTGCAATATCGCGGACTAATCGAATCTAAACTTATACACTCGCTACCAGTAGTTTAAGCATAATGAAGGATTTTCCCAGTAGTCAAATCACTGACCACAGTTGAATATATAAATCTGTACTTGGTTAATTCAATTACAGCTTATACATTGCTACATTAGTCTAACAAAATTATTTCAAAATAAATAAGTAATTTCTTACCAGGAAGTGGCTTCCCTTCTTTAGCTGCTTCTAAATGTTGTTCCAAGTTTACATCTCGATGTGAACTGAAAGCACTTAAATAAACTTTTTCATCTTCAATCGCCGGAATCGGGTATCGACCAGTTGCCAGTTCAACTAACGATAAACCCAAACTCCATACATCACTTAATGTATTGTATTGTTCACCTGTTAAACGTTCCGGTGCCATATAACTTCTTGTACCAACAAATGAATTAGCCAAAGAATCAATCAGTTGACCACTTACACCGAAATCGCATAATTTCACATCACCTGTACGATTTACAAGGATGTTGGATGGTTTGACGTCTCTGAAAAAGTCGTCAGCAAATTAATGTGATACGAAGATGTCTCAATTCGACTTTAACTACTTGAAAAAAGTATTAAGTAGTAAAACGAGTTATTATTAAAATAAAAATGAAAGGTGGCACAGATAAATTCCAACTACACTGAATATATAAATATGAGAAGTGAAGTTCAGAAGTGATAATAAAACGAAATCGAAGTGTGAAATGTTAGAAAGTAAATATTTCTAGAAAAATATAGACTAAATCAAACTGCTCGACTATGACAGAATTGGCGCCATGTTACATAATGCCTCCAACCATGGATTCTTGCAATCGTGTGGTTCATTATCAGGATGTCTATATTTCCTAACGTAGCTCGGGTCACGAGCGAATGAGTTTATATCCCCATTTTCTCAAACCAATCATCTATGCGATCAAGCAGTGAACGTCGTGGTTGGCTGTGGTCAAACACAGTTTTGATTTTTTGGAAACGTTTCTTTTAATGCCAAGAAATATCGACAATTAGTTGTTAATTATTGTTTTATAGCACCATTTCTGAAATAGATCAACAAATTGACACCAGTGCTTTGGCATTCCGGGATCAATTATCGTACGGATGAACGAAATCCGATTACTGTAACACAAACTTCAAAAGTTTTGCATGGAATTTGAGTGCCAAGGAAGTCATTTTTTGGTAAACGGACCCAGTGTTGCATGATGAAGAGGGTAACTTTATACTCACAAGATACCAACTAATGCATCGGTTGATCCAGACAGCAAGTTGGTAAGGATGAAAATCAGAAGCCATTGGAGTGTGTAACAACTTATTTGTCAAAACGAATAGCCCTGAAATAACGATGATGATCGAAAATCAAACCGATATCCAGCTTCTGATTCGATACTGTATAAGAACAAGATCTCACATGGTCACGTGCACACAATCACTACCTCCATGTGGTGGAGGTGTCTTTTACGAAATTGAGAGGACGAAAAGCGAATGTCTGGCACTCTAACTGGATTGGTGGACACGGAGAATCCACCTAGGGGAGTTAGAAGATCCTGATTCCAAATTAATGCTCCACATGGGCTACAGGATCCTGAAAGAACAAATGGCGTATGAACCAATTGTTGGTCACCGGCTACCATAAGACTGCATCTCCTTACGATGTTCTACTGCCTTATGGATCAGACCTTTGGGTCGAAGGTTCTAGCTGTTGTCCCCTAAGAAAACTACCTGCTTCAGTCTGTATATCCGGGTAGTATCACATCCCACACATAAATCAATAGACTTTTGTGGCGTATATGTATTGGGTGCCCCTTTCTATCAATATTTCTATGTTCAAATAAATAAATTAAAGAGGTAATCAAAACATGATCAATAAAAAAAGGAACAACAAAATATTTAGTAGCAAAGTATTATGTATGTTTTGTTTTATCAGGCGATGTTCTTAAACTTTAAACAAAAATTTGTGCTTTTTAATGTTTTGTTTATTAATGTAAACGATTTTCACAAAAGGAAACTTTATACTCAAATGAAATAAAACAGGGAACTACTACTACGACTACTATTACTATTACTACTAAGCAACCAAACAAGAACATAATAACAACAACAAAAAAACATTTTGTTAAATGTTAACTTATAGATTAGAAGTAATTTGTTTAGTGATTTCAATAGGTGGTAAATGACACATGAATAGTATTTCCATGAAGATTGGTTAATGACAACAACTCAAGATGTGTAAGTGTGTATGTATGTATGTATGTATGTGTCATAGAATAGAGGCTTCAGCAGTGCATTACTAAATTCTACTTATTCTAAGCATCTAGTGGACCTATTAAGTAATGTGATATGTTTTATTGTTCTTTAATTAATACTACTGAGTAAATATAGAAAATTGATTGATGAGGTAGTAAATATTCATTAATTGAAGAGGTTGCTGTATGTGTTATGTATGCCACACCACTACCTACTTCGCTGGACATATTGCTTGAATGTAATAGGCAGGAAGAAAGCTAGAAGCGGTCAAAACAAGATATGAGATCAGTTTATTAAGTTACTGATAATTAGACTGAGCCATGTTAATAGATGGTTTGAATTATTTTTTTCTGGTTAGCGTCTTTTTAGTGAGTTAGGATACGACACACATTGAGAAAAGCACCGAACTATGTCACAAGGCAAGCCCTCACTTGAAATCCTCAAGGTCAAATGATAAGAGGAGGACCAAAGAACACATTACGCCGAGAAATGGAAACAGATATGAAAAGAATGAACAACAATTGGATAGAACTAGAAAGGAAGGCCGAGGACAGAGTGGATTAGAGAATGCCGGTCGGCGACCTATTCTCCATTGGGAGTAACATGCGTAAGTAAATGTTAATAAATGTAGACTACTTGGTTTTCGTAATCAACGCTTAGAGACTCTATATGAAATAGCTCAGAATCGTTTGCACTAGTGCAAGTGTGTTTCTCCCTTGTTTTACTTCGGAATCTGAATCCTGAAATCTTTTTACACTTCTTCGTTTCTTTTTCTAACACTATTAATAGTACTAATAATATTGGTACTGCTCATACTTCCCTGGGATTTGTCCTGAAATAATTTTATCCCTTTTTGGTATTGTGGTATGGTAACTTGAATCAATGCACATGTGTTAAGTTCTACACTGTGTATGACTGATTGACTGACAGAATTATAGCTAATTAAATATGCACTGTTTGATCTGTTTTCTGGCACTGATTGCAGGATTGTGTAGAACGTGTGATTTTACATTTGGGGTGCATTGAGGTCTACTAATCCATGTATATAAAGAGCTAATGAGCGTTTGAGTTACACGCTAGGTAAATGAGATATAGAGTTCTCTACCGGGGTAACGGCCGAGGTATAGCGAAAGGTGTAGATACAGGTGGACTAATAGGAGAGAAGCTCAAAGATAATTGTGTCTATCAGAACGTATCCATGTTTAACAATATAGACAAAATAACAGAAGTGAGGTAGCAAAAATTATGATCGAGATTCTGGATTGGTGATATCGATTATAGCGAGATCGATTAAAGTCAGAGACACAAGAAAAGGAGTAAATTGTCATTAGGCAACAGAATAGAATGCATAGGTGGAGTGGGGGATGAATACTGTTAAGCAACTAACATTAAAACACAGTGAGAGTAATGTTCAGTTATATAGACAGGTGGTCATATTCCAACTTAATTGATATGGTAATCAAAACATGAGAGGTGGATGGGTGATCAATTTATCACATGACGGTGAGTTATGAAAGTTGTATAGGACTGACAGCTATCGGTTCATCATAAGTTCCTTGGTTGAAGGATCGTAGACGATGTGTAACTCAACGAGTTGAGACGTTATCATACATGACTTAAAACAGAAATCAATGTCAATTCTACCGTAGTTTTCATTTACATTTTTAGTAAAAGTGAGTATATCGTCATTCCTACTATAATCTATTTTCGTTTACTCATTTCTATCCATTTATTGATTTAATTATACTTTCTTGCCTTTATTGTCACTTCACAATCGCCAAACCAATCTTTCTTGTTTTATGTCCCAATGGATATATTCCGTTTACTTAAAAATTTCAAGAACCCTTTGACAGCAAACGAACTTAATGGTTTTCTGCATCTTTACCATCTTATTATCTTATTTGCGTTGCGTAAATTGATTTTGGTGTCTGTTGGGGTGATCCAGAAAACTTCTAGCAAAAGGCAAGAAAGGATCAGGAAAACACTAAGAAACATTTCATCCAATCAGCGTTCACTTGAAGTTTAGCCAGAAACATCAAGGAATTGAAAAGTCACATGTAGAGTTAATTACTATACTTATAGTATGTTAGGTAGCATTCCAGAATCTTCAGGAAACCTAAGGATATCTAAAATATTATAAAAACCCTAGATGTTCTGTACTAAAAAGAACCTTTGAAGTAAAGTGCTTCTGGCATATTTTACGCGTTTTCTCTCGTGTTCAGGTCGCTGTATAGTTCTAGCTTGGGTAGTTACGAGAATAGCTTAGGAACCAAATATAGTGTTCAATTAGCAAGACTTATCAGTGTCAATTTATACTAGTACATACGTGATTTAAATAAATAAATAGATTGACACAAACCAATTAACACTAAGAATTAGACAAAAACAATATTGGCTACAACACAATAAATCAATCAGTACAGATGACTGCATGATTTTTGTAGAAGTAGAAGTGAAAAATCTCTTTGATTTATCTTTGACTAAACCAAAAATGTGACTGGTTCTCTTGGAATTAATCACTATAAACTAATGACTATTTCATGATTAACAATAGTCCATCAAACCTTTAACTTAACCTCCTAGTTATTCTGTAATAACATTCACATGAATCAATCCAGTCAACCAGCGATCAACATAGAATCTGCTACAAATTTACATCAGTTCAAATTAACACATCAGATAGGCAAAGTGAAATGAAACCAACAGGATTAGTACTGAGATAGTGCCCCCAAATGCCCTGTTACGTCCGAGAGTGGGGAGAATCTGCCCTCCCTCTCCAAATGCTCTCACATGGCCACGCGTATATAGCCTCTGTCAGGGAAGTCCTACTCACTGGTTTCTCGTGGCATTACTGTTGTTTACGAAAATGAGAGGACGAAAAGCGAATGTCCGGCGCTTTAACCGGATCCCAAACCAATGGTGCACATGGGTTCCAGTATCCTGCGGGAACAAATGGCGTATGAACCAATTGTTGGTTACCGGCTACCATGGGACTGCATCTTCTCACGATGCTCCACTGCCTTGTGGATCAGACCTTTAGGCCATAGATTCGGGGTGTGGCCCCCTAAGGAAACCACCTATTTCGGTTTGGGCACCCGGGCAGTATCACAGCCTTCACACATATCAAATGAGATATGTGTGGCGCATATGTATTTGGTGCCTCCTTGTACCAATATCTATGTGTTAAAATAAATAAATAAACTGAGATAGTAGAAGTGGTAATAGTAAAATAATAATAGTATGAAAGAGATAATTTCAGTGGGATAGAATTATAGAATAGAAAAGTGCGATGTAACACTAAAAATCTAAATGTAGAAGGATATAAATAATGAACAGTCCATCTACCTCACAAGTACGAATGATTTTGACTCATATCACCCAACATCTGTAACTTGTAAGCAATGGGCACTCCAGTTTTCTTCATAATTCCACCGTAGTGGAGGCATTAACTCCGCCTGGAGCCCATTTCGGGCTACTGCCGGTTCCAAGCCCGGATAAAGGAGGAGGGTTGGGCATGGGGTTAGGTACCCCATTCCGTAGGAAACTAACTCGTTAGAAAAACGCTAACCAGAAAAAAATAATTCAAACCATTTAAACTCTGCCCTGAGAGTTAGAAAGTCTTCATTTAAAAGAATTACGACACCTTATGATGAAAGCCGAGTTCATTCAGAATTCATGAGGCTGATGTCTCTCCTAACAACCAGAGAAACAATTTTCATAGGTACATGGAATGTCCGGATAATGTCGGAGACCGAGAAGACCAGTAGTAGAGGCATTAACAGAGGAAGAAAATAGACCAGAACATAGTTAAGTTATTTTAATTGTACACATATCAATCGATCGGTTGAAACCAACATAGAATTTGACACATATATGCATTTACAACTGATTGATCACTGGATGGTGATCAATGTCAGTCCTACAGGAGGTCGGTCGCGGCCCGGATAGCTCAGTGGTAATGTTTCTTACTGTGAAGTTGGATGACACGGGATCGAATCCGTCAGGGAGCACCAGTTCCCTCAAGATTACAGGTACACCTTTCTGACGAGTGCCAAGTAGCACGAAACCCAGGTTAAGGGTTTCCTGTCGACTACCTCCAACCACCATCTGATCTCAACATATACGCCTTGTTAGAAATTGCCATACAAGACATTAACAAAGATAGATACAATTATTAAGAGTGGTAGAGTTACTAACAGTATCATTCGTAATGGAAAAGATCACACTTAGACAAAATGGATCAAGTGTAATAATATTGAGCTGACTAAAATGAAGTAGGTGATAGCTGTTCAGGATTGGCAGTTAATTGTCGAGATCGCTACAATTGCTTAAAATCATTATTTCATAAACTACAATAAATAAGGATAACAAAAATAAGGACATTATGCAAATCACAATTCGTTATAACTAAGGTGTTACGTATTGAACACTATAGTGGAAAAACATTTCATATGCAAAATAACTTTTTACCTTTGACGAAAAAGATGGATTGTCAGAACTATGTGATATATTAGCGCAATACATTTCGAACAATCTGATCACACACAATATACTTGTTGAGCACATTTATATATGTAAAGAAATATATGGTCAACTAGACTGGAAATAGGGTAAGAGGAGACAAGGATACAGATTCATATACAAATTCATGTAATCGGCTTTAAGTTATACTTATTATGTGAGAGCTAGTGGTAACATCCAGTTGTCGAAACAGAAATTGGTAAAAACTGATGAAAAATTTATTGGTATCACATCCGAGTGATTACATTTAAAACTACAACTTCTCATTCGGACCATCAGTAAGCTACTTTTAGTCTTAATTAACGTCCTTCAATTGACCTGTCAAACATAGTGAAATATGAAGGAATAAATGTTGGAGCTAATACAGCTCTATTAGGTCATCAGGATATACAACACCGACCATTATGACAAAGTAACAGTTATAGAAATCAGGTGATTATAACCATTGATTGGAGAAGAGATTATCATATTAAGGGCTATCTAAGTGTCATGTTTTAAGGTGGGAGAGGAACATTAATTATTGTTTGTTCTGATGAAGTTGTCTAGCATAATAATCTTGAAATGTTATTTCATGCAAATGGCTTTGTATAGTTGAAAATGGATATGGTTTTAACTTCATGTCAAAACATACAGGATACTGATCGTATAAATGAATGTAGATTAACAAGTAAACAATAGGATATGCCCAACATAATCATGAACACATAGATTGATTAAGAAAACGTGGTATTGAAATCAACCTGACATCAATAAATACATTAGCATAAACTGAATCTATCAACTTAAGCACGAAACATCAATCGATCAAATGACCAGAGGTCAACTCAACAAAACAATCAACGAATGTATGAACTAGCTCTATGAAGAGAATGAGTATCAAATAAGGTTTTATAAAATGAGATTAATTTGATATATGTAGAAAAATTTTAAAAGGTATGGTTCTATTTGAAGTACGTAGACACTGATTATAATGCTTGTAATGATAATGAGAAATTCGCAATTAAACAGTTCACTTTAGAGAATATAGTATCAATGAATGCAATCTACTTGATACTGACATAATTATAATCTGTTTCAGCGGAATTACAACATACAATGCCTTAAATGAGCTTGAATATATTCTACTGAAAGTATAGAAAATGTGAAAACGAATTTTCAGCCCTTAAAACTAACCACAAGCTAAGGATGGTCTAGTCAGAAGTGACAGAAAACTAACCAAAATACAAATCAATAAATAAAATTTAGGTTCAGAAGAAGCAAAAAGTATATAAAGTTTAGTAAGAAATAGTGAAGTTAGACGTAGGGTATTAGGAAATGATAGTAAATCAGTTGGTCAAGTTATAAATCTTCATCGACTGAGGTGGTTGGACCACGTGCCTGAACACCGATTACCATGACGTGCAATGTTGACCAGTGTTGGAGACGGTTGTAAGCAAGTTAGGGGCGGCCAAACCAAAATGTGGCATCGGTCCAAGGAGCCACTAACTTCTGGTATGAGCCATGTTAGTAGATGTAGACTACCTGATTGGGGTCCGCGTGACTATCGTAACCAATGGTTGGAGACTCTTGGTGACATGGCTCAGAATTGATCACAATGGCGTGGGTGTATGTACACACTCTTTGTCTTCCCTTAAACTACGAGATTGAAATCGCTTCATATCTTTCTTTCTACCAATTAATTCTTTCTTCCTGTACTATCTCTTTATTTGCAATCTTTCTTTCATATATTACGACCATTAAATTAACTACTATAAATTCAGTGTTCATCTTGTTGTGCTAATGCGGTATGGCAATTTGGACCGGTGCATATATGTGCCTGGTTTTATGTTGCAGCCGACTGACTGACTTCCAACTTCACAGTGGTGAATTAGTAGTAACTGAAGCACACCTTCTAAGCAATGAGTCATAGTTTCGAACCCCAAATTTCCTTCTTCAGTTTGAACAAGAAGGTATCATCACTACTACCCATTACACTCAAAATTTAAAAAAAAAGTTGAGGGAAAGACAACAACAACAAAAAGAAGAAGACGTTATTTACCTGTGTATAATATGTAATACTTCACGTAAATAAACTAGACCACGTATTACAGAATATAATATTTTAGCAACAATTGGTTCAGGTAAACGACCAGCATGTAATAGGACAATATCTAAACTTCCACCATCCATGTATTCCATACATAAACTAATATCACCATCAGCAAAAAATGCACCATAATAACCAACAATATAAGGTGAATTACAATCATGTAATACCTAAAAGGAAATAATCAATGGAAAAGAAAATACATGAACATAAATAGGTGAAATGAATCAATAGCATTATGGTAACATCTCAAATAGTAAAGCTAGAAGTAATATAGGTTCAAATCATTAAGAAGATTGTAGGTAAGTGGTATAATATAGTACAACTTCACATTTACATGACTTATATTAACTTAAGTATGATCTATATATGTATGTATCACTTGAACATGTGTTTGTATACCTTACTTATTTGCATCTCTTTCATACTTAGAAAAAGTGAGTTACTTATTACTTGGTGAGTTGGTTATTTCTATTACTCCAGTTCACGTGCATTTCTTTTCATCTCTTATCATTTGTCTGTATGAATGAATGTCTGAAATATATATGTTCTTTAAATACTTTCATATTCAACTTCTAACATACATGTTGTTATTAACGAGATGCGCCGACAAAATATATTATAGAGTCAGCCATAGGGTAACCTAAAGGTATACTCTGTTGGCAAGTACCCAATTAACATCATGAAACCTAGGTCAAACAGGATATCCTGGAAACAACCTCTAACCATTTCAAAAACCGAATTACTGTATAAATATTTATCTAATTCTTCATTGTAAGACCACTATTGATAGGAATAGTAGGAAAAAGAACTTTACAGTTTGTTTATGTTTAACATTAAATGTTCGATAACTAAAACAAAGATTACTATGAAGTGGAAATTATGAGATATTGTATACCATAGGAGTTGCACAGTCCATTTATTTAGTAGTTAGACAACACATAAAAAACCTACATATTGTGCTATTCGAATTATCACACTCTGTGAGGGATTATTTACACTGTCTCGATATACATTATATATGTGAAAAAGGTGACAGTGTTAATAATCAGAAGAAGAAACTAAATTAAGTGAAGTGGAGTTCCAGTCTGTGACGTACAACTGACTGAATGATATCAACTTCAACTGAACTACAATATGGAAATGAAAACAAAAAAAATAAACATTTCATCTAAACACAAAGAAACGATAATTAAGAGAGAAAGAGTCAGTCAGCTACAATGTAGGAGCAGGCACATATATGCACCGGTCCAAATTGCCATACCGCATTAGCACAACAAGATGAACACTGAATTTATAGTAGTTAATTTAATGGTCGTAATATATGAAAGAAAGATTGCAAATAAAGAGATAGTACAGGAAGAAAGAATTAATTGGTAGAAAGAAAGATATGAAGCGATTTCAATCTCGTAGTTTAAGGGAAGACAAAGAGTGTGTACATACACCCACGCCATTGTGATCAATTCTGAGCCATGTCACCAAGAGTCTCCAACCATTGGTTACGATAGTCACGCGGACCCCAACCAGGTAGTCTACATCTACTAACATGGCTCATACCAGAAGTTAGTGGCTCCGTGGACCGATGCCACATTTTGGTTTGGCCGCCCCTAACTTGCTTACAACCGTCTCCAACACTGGTCAACATTGCACGTCATGGTAACCGGTGTTCAGGCACGTGGTCCAACCACCTCAGTCGATGAAAATTTACAACTCGACCAACTGATTTACTATCATTCCTTAATACCCTACGTCTAACTTCGCTATTACTTACCCGGTGATCCCAGTAGATATGAGTAATATTTCTAAGACATCTGTGATCAAATATTAGTGACTTACGAGTAACTCTTACTCTTAATAGCTACGTTTCCTACCCGTAAAGTAAAACAGAACGAACTAATGCACAATATACTCGTCCCTTAATTGATAGACGGATATCTCGCCTTCGCCATAGGTGACGTAAGTTAGCAAAAGCCAAACGAGCTTTTCGAATCCATGCTGAGATTTCGTCAGACACTAACCCATTAGGGTTGATCAGACTTCCAAGATAAGTGACATTGTCAACGCGTCTGACTATTTCATTCCCTATTCTCAGGTATAGGTGTTGACGCAGGCCAGTCCTGAAGCAACAACTTGCATTTAGAAGGGGAGAAACACATCCCAAACATCTTAGCATTGTTGCTCAGTGCTATCAAACGACTCTGCATTTTATCGGTATTTTCACCAAACAGGACTATATCATCTGCGTATTCTAAGTTGATAAGTCAACCCTTCTGGTCAGTAGATCAATTCTTGAACATTCAAATGACGAGAAGATTATTTCCATTCGTAGATCTATGATGAAATGAAATGAAATGAAAATAAAGATAATAAATAAAAATTCATTTATATAACTAACTAACTAACTAACTTACTTGTAATTCACGTATAATTTGTGTTTTAACAATTGGTTTAATTTCTAAATGAATATTTTTTTTAGCCATAATTAAACCAGTTGTTGTATGACGTACACGACTAACAACACCACCATTACCTTTACCTAATTCATTTAATTTTTCAAAATCTTCTGGATGTAATTCACCAATTTTTTGTTTATCTGCTACAAATGCACTTAAACGACGTCGTTGATTATCATCTAAATCTTGGATTGCTAATTGTTTTAAACTAATTATAAAAAGAAAAGAAAACAAAAGAAAAGAAAGAAATTGAAACTGAAAGTTAGTATCTACTTTTTTAATGTAAACTATAATATATGAATATCAGAAGGGGTTTTGTGGTGATTGTAGTAATTTCAATGGTTAAGATCATGAATCAGTTGAAGGTAGACCATTATGGAAAATCTGGAAGCACTGGACGGCCATTTCGTCGTCTCAGTGATCTAGTGGTTAAGTGCTCACGCGCGAAACCAGTATGTCCTGGGTTTGAATCTCGAAGGGGGCGAGGTCGTGGATGTGCACTGCTGAGGAGTCCCATAATAGGATGAAACGTCCGTCCAGTGCTTTCAGGTTTTTCATGGTGGTCTAGCTTCAACTAACTCATGATTTTAACCATTGAAATATAATATATGAAGTTTAAAATTTTAGCTATACATTAATAATTATAACTTGTATGACAGTGATACATATTCTCTATCACCATCTGATAAATCTTGCTAAATGAACTCTATATTCGATTACTAAGGTATTGTCGTAACTACCCAAGCTAGAACTGTACAGCGACCTGAACACGAGTGAAAACGCGTAAAATATGCCAGAAGCACTTTACTTCAAAGGTTCGTTTTAGTACAGAAAATATAAGGTTTTTATAGTATTTTAGATGTCCTGGAATGCTACTAAACATAGTAATCAGCCAATCAGAAACTCTACATGTGACTTTTCATTTTCTAGATGTTTCTGGCTAAACTCCAAATGAACGCTGATTGGATAAAATGCTTCTTGGTGTTTTCCTAATCATTTCTCGTCTTTTGAGAGAAGTTTACTGGATCACACCAACACCTCCCCGCTTTTAAGTCTGTTGTGTAAGACTTTTTCCTCGGATCCACCTGAAACTTGGTTGCCGTATTCCGCTTGCGGTTCATCACTGGAGAAGGTTGTGCAGCTTTGCCCTTGCGTCCTTTATCTCTTCTACACCATCATTATGATCGACGTCTTTGAAATCTAGGTAAACTAATTAATGATTTTTTTTAATGTGATAGATATATCAAATGTAGATTGATATACAAGTGTTTATGAGGAAGCCCCTGAATGCTCTGATATAGCTGAGAGTGGGGAGAGTTAGCTTTCCCTCTCGAAATGCTCTAGCATAGCCACGTGCATACAACCACTTCCAGAGAAGTCCTACTCAATGCCTTCTCGTGGCATTACTATTGTCTACGAAATTGAGAGGACGAAAACCGAATGTTCGGCACTTTAACTGGGTTGGTGGAGTCCACCTGGGGGAGTTGGAAAACCCTGATTCAAAACCAATGGTGCACATAGACTATAGGATCCTGAAGGAATAAATGGCGCATGAACTTATTGTTGTTGGACTGCATCTCCTGACGTTGCTCCACTGCCTTGTAGATCAGACCTTTAGGCCATAGATTCGGGGTGTGGCACCCTAAGGAAACCACCTGCTTCGGTTTGGGCACCTGGGGCAGTATCCCAGCCCTCACAAACCTATTGGTTAAAATCAAGTGTTTATTTCTATCAATAATGAGACATAAAACAACAAAGGTTTTTAACTATAAACTACGATATGTTCGCAAACTTAATTCAGTCATAGATGACATAGAACCTGGGACGTAAGTGCTTTGATTTAGATTACCACAACACATTAACTTGTTATTGCAGGCCGACAATCGTGGTGGTTCTTGATATTATGGTCGCCTTCAATTCGTAGAATAGGAATTCTCTTGCGTTGTATATTGAAGACTGTATCTGAGAAGTTTATTAACATCTTGAAGGCTTTACATATAAACACCTCAGGCAGGATGACGAGATAAAACCAACTCTCTTCATTGTTTCATTCAAGTAGTGGAGTAAGGCAGGGTTACCCAATTTCATCATTCCTCTTCAACTTTACTATCGATGACGTCCTGGAAACAGCTCTGATGGGTGTAGGTAGTGGTGGTGTGGATCTGTTATCTAGAGAAAGGCCTAGCGCACTCAAAAATTATCTTACAAAGAAGGAAAGTCATAGTCTTGTAGTTCATAGAAGACTACGAATAATATCATGTGACAAGACCTGTCCTAGCTTTGCTGGTGTCAGTTACAGACATTCGATCTGCACCCAGAAACGGATATATTAATTCAAGTATTTAGGTGTGTTATGAATAGACGACTATAAACCCATTTCGATAGAGCTTTTACAACTCATCTAGAAGAAGTACTTATCTTTCAACGATGCACTGAAAGCTGTGTTGTACTATGGTGTATTATTACACGACAGAATACAAAAAGACGTGCATATAAAACTATTTAACACAGGTATATGTACATAAAACCTACACTTCAGCAACATCAACAGGTCCTGTGCTGATCCTATTTGAATAACGATGTTCATTGTTTCGATCGCCTCTCGAGCCAAATAGATTGTCGTTTGACGGCGTATGAGTTTTCTTTGGAGACAAACGAAGATCTGTGAGTGGTGGTGGGATTCTACGATGCACAGAATGTGGATGTGAATGATGAGCACTTGGTCGATAGATACTAGTTTGTTGAGATGTTTTCACAGGCTGAGATGAATTCGTTATATTATTATTATCATCTAATTTATCTAATAATGATGTAGCTTTTGAAGTTCCATTTCTTTGTAATGATTCTTGTAAACTATCTGAAGATTTATTCAACTCGGCATTTGTGACAGGTTCTTCAGATTTTTTATCTGTTGTAGAACAATTATCTGATGATTGGATAGCAGAACTCGGTAATGTAAGATTTAACCGATTACGTCTACTTCCACTCCCAGAAGATGTTGACATTTAATTGAATTCAAATAGTGTACTGTAAAAAGATGGAGAAAATTTTTAAAAATTCTTGGAATAGGTATCAATTGATATAACTTAGTTAAAAAATGTCATATAGATGCATGTTGATTCAATTAGTCAAAACATCTGAACAAACAACAGTAACATCGCTTTTCACTACCTTTTATTAGTATCTATTATGTACATTTGCAAACATCAGTAATGAGTTCATAAATGTCCAATGAAATTGTTATAATTTATGACCTGAGTGCCCTTTTAATGTATAAGTAATGATACCGCCAATTAGAACGCAGTGACTTATTGATCGGACCAATGACGCGTAAAACTTGTACGAGCAGTCTAGAATCTTTAGCGATCCTCCTTCTAGCCTAGCCCTACCTGTTAAGTCCAAAATATCAATCTCAACCTCTGTGATATGAATTATGTACTAGGTTTATATACAAACTAAATAGAACACATCGTACCATAAAATAGAAAACAACGTTTGTACAAGATTTAGCCAAATGTGGCTGTGAATAAGGGAGATAGTAATTAATAGACTTGGGCATAACTCAAGAATGGTAAATCGTATAATAGTAGTTCATAGGTCAAAATTAATCTCATAATAAGAGGAACACGAATATGAATAGTTTAGTTAATTAACAATGATACGATAAAAATATACGTCTAGTATTGATCCATAAATTGATCCCAAAGTTACCATTCATTATATTCATCGGAACCTAACAGAAATATTGTTGCTATTGTAAGTATTAGCCTCTTTAAATTAGTTGGGTAGAATAATTTCTGCATTACTTACATGTCACTATCAAATAACTCCATCAAAACCTTAGATTAACAGTTTTAACTTTTCTTTCCACTATACTTCTATTACAAAATAGCATACTATGTTGGATTAGATCATCCCACATAAAACGAAAGAATGCAAACTTTACACATATATGCATTAGTTTAAATTGCTACACTTCATAAGTGTGAACGTAGAAAGATACTGAAACAATCAAAAATATAGAAAAACAAATTATTAAGGAAAGATAAAAAAATTTAGAGTTTATAAGAGGATAAATAATAGATAACTTTATACTTTTGTCCCCGAAGGAAGAGTTGGCTCTCCCTCTCTAACTGTACTCGCATGACCACGTGCATACAACCACTTCCACAGAAGGCTCCGGATGTGACCCCCTAAGAAAACCACCTGCTTTAGTTTGGGCACCCGTGCAGTGACATAGCCCACACACAAATCAAGTGACTTGTGTGGCGCATATATATTTGGTGCCCCTTCGTATCAATATTTATGTGTTCAAATAAATAAATAAATAAATAAAAGCCATCGCGATGGATTTCCAACAACTGATTACTAACAATAATTGATGCAATTATCCATCAGCAACTGGTTTGTTTTATTTATGTATGTTTAAGAAATTCATTAGCAAAAGCTAAATGAAACCACTGTGTCTGTGTTTTTTATACTTCTTTGCAGAAAAAATGAGACGTCAAACAAGTTTAGTCAGTTTCATTTCTACGGTTGAAATTCCCGATGATCACACCTTGGCGAAAAGAGTTCAAGCAGTGGTACAATGGATCAATAAGTGTTTGTTCCGAATATTTTCAGCAACTTCATCTGGAGTATACTGAATCGGAGGGAGGATATCCTCTTCATTAAAAATCATTATCATGTCTACGTGTCGACTGGAATGCTACCGGAGAGCCCCAGTCGGACAAGAGGATTTCTTAGAGAGCCTCTCCTGGCCTTTGACCTAGAGTTTTAATCCACAAGATAGCAGAACAATAACAGGAGATTCAAAATAGGCTTGAATACTATATATTTCTTCAGGATTCTGCGGTCTATATGCTTTATTTATTTGAATAAAGGTTTACTAACAATCCTAGCTAAATCCTCCCTATTCATTAACAAATTAAAGTGCCAGATATCCCTTTTTTGTTATTTTACCTTTACAAAAACACCACCACGCGAGTGACATTATCTTTAGTATTGTGACAGGTATAAGGATGGTTTCGACTTTTTTAGTGCCCAAACTATGGAAGGATACTTTATGACGTACTTGAAACTATGTGTTGTCTTGACGACCTGAGAGCACAACTATGATGTTCAAGGGACAGCTGCTTAGGGCCGCTAACACGTGATCTACTTTTGAGTTCTTGACGTTAGTTCTTAAATTTCAGGCCCTTACTTCGGTGACAGGAGGTGGTTTTCTAAATGTAAAGTCCACATTTTCTGGGAAGGATGAATCCGTAAGCTGCTGCTGCAAGGCTGAAAAGACCGATTGGTGTTCCAAGATCACACAACGCACACAACAATCCATGGATTCATGAGCAAATGCCGTGTCTTGGTTTAAAAGCCGTCATCTTTTTTCGGTAATGTTGATTAATTTGTATGAATTGCACACTTCTGGAGATCAACGATGAAGGATATTTAGATAAAAAAATGTAAAACTTTATCGATAATAACTGATTTTTACAGCGTACTTCACTTGGCTATTAGTGAAGAAAATAAAGTTCTATTTCCCTACGATCATATGACTACGGTGAACTTACAAATCTTTTCGATTTTATTCTAGTACAATTCTAACTGAAAACGATCAATATCCGTATTTATTATTTCGGGTCGTGACTTGTTGCAAACTATATACTTTTTACGTAAAAACTTGTTATATGCGACAGATACAAATGTGGCTATCATAGAATGTCTATGCTTAGAAGACATTTGAGCTTAAAAGATTAGTTTTTTCTACTCAGTAATAAGAATACGGAGTTGTCAGCATACAATATTTCAACAAGCTTCCCCTTGCTTTTTTATACGTTACAATTATATATACATATATAACATTATAGAACATTCAATTACATCTTTATAAGGAATTAAGAATCTATACAAGTGTGAATTGGAAACAGGTTCAAGAATATAAATTTCTTTAGATCAGCTCTTACAATTTGTTTATCATATAATAGATGTGCTAGGTACACTAATATAGAGCTTTTGCATTTTTGCCTGTATCCAAGAATCCTAGTGTATCTGCATCTTGTTGCACCGGAAGATATCCAAGAAAATGCGCATCATTACCAAGTAATGCAGTTGTTAAGAAACCAGTACTAGGTAAGGATGACAAATCAATTGAAGAAGTAAAACTTCATCAGTTGAGATAGCTGGGACACGTGTTACATATGCCCAACCACCGACTGCCCCGACGTGCTATGTTTTATGGTGTAGGGGTAGGTTGGAAGAAAGCTAGGGGCGGCCAGACCAAAACATGGCACAAATCCATGAAGTCACTGACAAGTGGACTTAGCCATGTTGGTAGGTGTAGACTACCTGGTTGGGGACCGCGAGATGATAGCAACCGATGGTTAGAGACCTTGATTGACATGGCTCAAAATCGTTTGCAATGGCGCAGGTGCATCCACTCTTTGTGTTCTCCCAAATTCTAATCTTCGGAAATCTTCATGACCCTTTTATCTCTTCCAAAATTTATTTTACTGAATAATACTCTTTGAATAACATCTTCAAACCCCTAGTTTCCGATTACTGCTCAGACGTTTACTACCTCTAACACTATGGGATTTGAATGGACTATTGTATCTCTGTGCTAATGTGGTATGGCAAATCGAACTGATGTACGTATGTACGAAGTTCTACGTTGTTTCTGACAGACTGATGGTTAGTATCTGATAAGACGTTTTAGTTGTTTCAGTCACTCAAACGCAAAGCAGAACCTAGTACATATGTACATCAGTTCAAGTTGACAAAACACTATAGTAAATCCCAGAGTAGTAACAGTATAAATGGCAATAGAATAGGTTAGGGGTTGAAGATACGATTCACGAGCATATACATTGATGAAACGAAAAAACTTATGACTTATTTAGAAGCTTAGGATCTAGGAGAAGATAAAGAGTGGATGAGCCTGTGCCATTGAGAACGATTTTGAGCCATTTCACAGAAAGTCTCTCTTAGTTGTCTGAAGGATTTCAAACATCTATCCACAAGCATACTCATAACGCTATCAAAAGATTCATTGCCCACCTTATTAACTGCTTTCAGCATTCTCTGAAACACATTAAAATCTTTTCACAAAAACACAGGTAAGGATTATAGGGGGCAGTAAAGGATAACAAGTATTACACAAGAATTTACAAATCGATAAAGTACAAGCCGAGTGAAGCAAAAAGTAGACACTCTCTTCATATGGTAAGTTAAAAGAAAACATTCTTTGATATTACCGAAACATAAGAAGACCAAGCGATCACGAGTCAAATCAATGAGAGATACAATACAAATGATAAAGTTAATGACAGGTTAAAGATCAACAATAACCAATCAAGGTCGAGGCCTACAGAAAAAGCTGGAGTCGTATTTGGAGAAATTCGAACGCTTCACCTGTACTTGAAAATGTTGTTTAGAAGAACGATGAAAGCTCCACGACCAAACCATCCAGCTCACAGAACACAATTCCACCAAGACCAATAAAAATTAGAAGCATAACTCAAACCAGAACTACGTAGAAAAATGATAAAAAAGATTAAAGGATCGTCTCTTGTGGTATACTAGATTGATTTATTCAGGTGAAATAATTTTCCTGAAACACAGCATACTGTTTTTTGCAGAGAAGTAAGAACACAGCCAGTTATTTAGTCAGCTGTGTTAACGTTGATGAACCCTTTCAATAAGATTCTTGAAAGGACAATCCAGGACATGAATTGAACATACTTATCACCCTTTACCGGAATGGACACCGTACTACAGCTTTTGAAAATACATCACATACAGGCTTTCGACGCGAAACTATAATTGATGGGAGAATCAACCAGATATTTTGGCGCAAAATTCACCCATTCATTTGGTAAAATAGTTTTGGAATTAAAACTGATGTCATTTCGCGATGAAAACCCTAAATCTAATTATTAACCCTAATCATCAACTGTAAATCATAATTCTAATGCCTCATACTGATTTATAACACTCAATTGAACTTAGTTATTGGGTGGACACTCAAGGTCACTTTGGCGTCACTCAGAGGTTGTCCAAAAATTAGTCTGTTGATTTTCTGGATTATTACATAACCTGGTCCTCGAGATCCAAGTTTTCCTCCTAAATCTTTTTAGTTGTGCATAAAAGTCGGCGAAACCTTGCATAAATGTTACAACGACAGTTAATAGCATTGATGGTGTTTTACAGTGAGCCATTAATGAATGAATCTCAGTTCGGTGTTCAAAAAATGTTATATGTATCCTGGATATTAGCATTTCAGCAATAAACATCTGACATTCGTTCTTCACTCTAACAGAAATGAGACAAATATTGACTATCTACCGAGTAAGTGTGCGATTTTTGAAGTAACTAGGATGAATGTAACTCAGTATGCTGAAATGAAATCGGTGAGCCTATTATTTAAATAAT